GTTTCCTTCATATATTTGGATGCTCTGCAGTTAAGTGCACATATATTTATAATTCTCATATTTTTCTGGTGAATTGATGCATTTATCATTATGTAATGTACTTCTTGTTTCTTGTGGATGATTTTGACTCTAGATCTATTTTGTCTGATATAAGTATGACCAACTTGGCTTTCTTTTGATTTCCATTTACTGAAACATTTTTCCATTCTTTCACTTTTAGCCAATGTATGTCCTTACTTCTAAAGTGAATCTCTTATAGACAGTTGTATTGCATTTTTAATCACTTTTTAATTCTCTTTAACATGTGCTTCATGTGTCCTAACCATCTTGAAACTTTGCAAAATATTGTAAAGAATAAGTTGTATTTCTTTGAATGAAAAACTACAAATTTTCAAATGTTTTAGATACCAACTAGCATAATTCTTAAGGACAAGAAAGAACTTTATTACTTTAATCATGAAATCTGTTTGGCTGTAAGATCTGCTTTCCTAGCAGTGAATGCAAATATGTACCCAGCCAGGAAGCATTAATAGACCACAAAGCCTGACATGGCACATTGAGAGCCAACTATTCATTTATGCAAATCAGAATAAATTGATGGAATAAATTAAAGATAATTTTATGTACTATACACTTTTTTAAAAGGGGAACATTGCATAATGTAAATATGCTTATGTTTTCTTCAAAGCATTTCAATACTATGATAGTGGCATTACATTTTAAATCAACTTGGTAAAAAGTTTGATTTCTGTTTAGTATGTTTATTCAATAAGACATTTAAATACATTTCAAACACTACAATGTGCCAATCACAATGCAAATGAGGATATACAAGTCTTGCCCTCATTGAGCTTATAATCTTGTGGAAGGAGACATGCATAGAATTGATGGATGCTGTGGTAGGTAGGTGCATGGTACTGTGTTGTGGCACAAGGCAAGAGGTACTTACATAAATTAGATAAGCATAACCATATGTGTAAATTAATTGACATCATCTTTTCCCCAAAAATTCAAAATATGTTGCAAAACACACATTTACAAACACATGCTTAGCAAAAGCCGTAAGGAACATTCCATCTGCTGCAGACCTTTTCCGCCAGGTCAATTGAGTAGCTGATGAACCCAATACATTGTAACATACCTTTCAGAGGCTGTTTATCATAGCTACTTTGCTTCCCACTCCTCAGTTGCCCAGGACCAAAATCCTCACATGGCCAAACACACAAAGAACTTCATAAGTATCTTAACAAAATTACAAACTCCTATATAAAATACCAACAGTACTGTTTTCCAGTAATTTATTCACTATGCAACTTAAAATAGTACAAATAACTCTCTACTATAAAAATTACCTAAAGTTAATTAAAATGAGCAGTCATTGGGTTTCATTTATATCAGAGAAATGGGATTATAAACAAAACCAGAGTAAATGGACATATGGAATTTGAGTGATGTATCAATATTTTTGTTTCAGGTAACCAAATCAGAACTCAAACATATTCAGGCTAATCTGAAAAAGGAACATGCACCTGGCTGTTCAGGACCAATTGTTCACTGGTGGAACTTTCATAATTTTTCTGGTGGTGACAGGTAGACATTCCTCAACCTCCAAGCTGTGTACACCATGCCATTCTCTGGGAGGCTTGTCAGTTCTGTTAATATGATCACACCAAGGATTGCCTCCCTGCTTTATTAATTTCATCTGTGCTCATTTTTTTTTTCCTTTTTGTCTTTTTTCGTGACCGGCAACAGATCGCAACCCTCAG